ATCCATAAAATCAACGTACTTGACGACTTGAGCTGCTGCAGGCACATTTGTAAGAACTCTCAGAGCACTTCTACTCAGAACACCTCTTATTGTTAGCACCTTTGCAGACTCACGATACAGTGACAGTGGCCAATCATAAATACTGAGGACTGTAAACAAAGGTAAGGGATTCACTTGTGCCTGGGTTGGACTTTTTACTTCCAAAAAAGGAAATACACTTGTAAGCCAGCAGATGAGTTTTTATTCTAAGCAGGCAAGCAGGGACAGTAGTTATCTGTCCAGGGATAACAGTAACAGAGATTTATTAAAATGAGAAACTGGTAGAGTTGTCTCAGAGGCGCTGCTTGTCAACTGTCAAGGCAGACAACTGCTTGTGGCCCCAGGCCAGTTGGGGACCCCAAGGGCTGACAAACTTTTAAACCACAGCAGTGGCTCAAAATGTGAATTTTGCAATGACAGTACCAAACCTCTCTAGTGGGGCAGTGTCTCACAGCACTCACTCAGGCTGTGTTTTTTAAGCGTTGCATGCATTATTCCAGTGAAAACCTGAGTTTGTCAATGATAGTCACCGAAAGGAAATTACACAGGAGTTATCGTTCTGGGAGTGAAAAAAGACTCAGAAAAAGAAAGCAGGACAGTGATACGTGGAGCAGATAAAGACCATTAAATATTACAGTTAATAATTGAATGCTGCTAGTCTAGCCTTAACTATGGGTTAGGCATATCCCTTCTGTAAGCGTTGCATTATGCTGTTTGTTCTTTGACATTAAGCATTAGTCAACTTAGGTAGGAGAGCAGCCCGTGACCAAGTCCAGTGTGCACCACAAGGAGTCAGATTCAGGTCACCAGCAGTCAAGTTGTTAGCTTAGCTAACACTTTTCTGTAAAGGCTGGAAACCTTTTAGGAAGCGTTTTGCATAAATCTGGAGTGGCTGTGATGCATTGTTCAATAGCAACTATTTCATTTAAAAAGGACAATTTCAAATCATTTTTCAATTCATTTTTAATTTGCAAGGTTCTTTTGAGAGGCATTTCGCGATGTCTTACTTATCCGTTACATGTTGATTTGATTACAACAATGAATAGATTTTTACTGAGAGATTGTAGATGTGATGCATTTAAAGTTGTTCTCGTATGTTCAGCAATTTAGACCAACTTATCATGTGAAACGTTGTGCAGCCTTTGATGATTTTTTTTCCTTAAAAAAGGGAAGAAATAGTCACATTGGATTCTGGAGAAAGGAGTTATATTTACCTGCTGGAGAGTGCAGTGTCATCATTGGAGATTGTCAGGGTTGATTTTAGTTTCCTCAGAAAAAAAAAAAAAACATTTGCAACCTTATATTCTCGTACTAACTTCTACAGTCCTGACAACTGCCAGATGTTCTACAATATGCAAACTGATTTTTTGAGCCATGCACATAAATGGACTTTAACCTGACATGACACAGGTACTCTGATGCCATAAGACACCTGTCAAACCTGCCCTTTAATGGTTGGAACACTGTCTGAGTGAATCTGTGTCAGTCTGTAGGATAATTATGTGATCTTAAATGACTTCCATATGCAAAATACTCTGTCCCATGCAGTTTTATGCAACAGACTGACTTGTTGTGAATTGTTTTTTTTTTTTGCATTATCCATTCAAGAAATGGATATGCCCTAGAATAAAACATTGACAAGACATAAGTTTAAAAAAAGTAAGACTTAATTTATTTACTTTCTGTCAGTGTCTTGTATTAGTTCCAATTTTCCTCTTTTTTACCCAGACATCTTTAAAAGTAAATGTATTCATTGTAAAATAACTATGTCCAAATTCCATTTAGCTGCTTCAGATTCAGGGTCCTGGTATTGTATGCCATATCTTGAAACATTTAGGGACATTTGAAAGACCTGCCAGGCTTTATTTTCCAACTTTACAGCAACTTATTTTTATATTTTTTTGGCCTTTCCTCCTGGGTTAGTCTTTGCATTAACATTTTCAGCTGCTACATGTTGCTTCGTGGCCAGCTTTCTCTTGAAAAGGGCACTTTTCATCTCAGTGCGGACTCTCTCCACTTAAAGGTTAAGTGAGAGACAACTAAACTTTCTAGCTTGGTTTGGCTTTACTCTGTTGCTCTGTGTTAGTGCACATATTATATCTTCTGATTGCATTGTGTCAGAACAATGACAACGCCTCCTCTTGAACTCTGTTGAGGTTATTTAGCTGAAAAGGTTGGCATCTCTTTTACATGCTGCAGGCTTAAAACAGTATGTGTAGCTGGCAAACTTTCAAATGCTGCTTTACTACATAATGTAAGGATAATGATAAACAAATATTTGTAGAATATTGTGTACGAGTTCCTGGTAAAAACAACATGTGAGACTATATTTTTTAATATTTTCATACAATATAAAATAATGTATTTTAACAGACTCTACAGAACACAGCAGAAAAAGCTTCAACAGGCTTCAGGTTTAGTGGAGACTTAAAGGTGGAACAAAAGTTGAATGCAAACATCAGTGGCACATGTATGCTACAGAAATAAGTGCGGCTGCAACAAAATTGCATTTGAACTATGTCCCCCAAAACTGAATAATAAATTGAACATAACCTTGATGCACTGACGGTACAGTATCTCCTAATGAACATTGTTGTGCTTTTATATGTATAGGTTTAGAGGTATAGTCTAACTGCAGACAGTTAAATACAGTAAAGTTAGTATTGATGCTTTTAGCAATACAAATCAAGTTTCCTTACTTCCACTTAACTAGGGCTGACGTGTCAGACTGATGTCTCATTAAACAAAAACTCTGTCTAACTGGATACTCTGTTAGAGAGTAAATGTGTTTATGAATGTATGGTGAGCCTCGAAACAAACCACTCGCTCAGTGATTCTCTCTAGCCTGTATGTAACTGTACACAGGTGTGTAGTGGATTCACTGGTTTAAATCACAGAGAAGCAGAAGTGGATATTCTGTGGTGCTGTTCTGTGATTAAGCTTGACATGATGAGAGCTGAAGAGCTGCCTGGATTAAAAACTGCTGACTCCTCTCCCTCTCCATCTCCTCCCTGCTCTTTTCCATCCCTCTATCACTCCATCCCTCGCTCTTCCCCTCATTCCTTCAAGTGTCTCTTGTGATGTTGCTTATAAAGCAAATGGACGGACAGGGACTCATTAAAATTAGCTCCCTGTTTCTCTCTCTCCCTTATCTACCTCTCTTCATCTCCCTCTCGCCATCTTCATCAGATGTAATTATGGCAGCACAATGTAGGAGGAGCCTGCACAGCAAAATTATACTTTCAAATCATCTTCCGCTACAGCTATTCAAGGAACGAGACCTACATTTTTCAGGCTGATCGGGGAGGGAATCCTAAAAGGAGGGTGAAGGGAGAAATGCAACAAAAAAAAGAGTAAGGGAAAAAGAGAGGGTATATGAAGAGGAGAAAAATCAGGGGGGAGGGAAGCAGAGAGAGAAGGAAAGACAGCTACAAAGAGAATATGTTAAGGAGGAATGGAGAATGTCAAGCTGTAGCAGTGGCTGTAGCCGCTGAGTTAACAGAACATGGGATCAGGGATGCTGTCAAGCTAGAAAAAGCCAGACAGCAAAGCAGGCTGGGAAAGCACAGTGGGAGGAACTGCTTAGTTAGCATACGTAACGGTTGCTGGCATTTTTTTTCCCCTTCTCCTTTTGCTTGGCACATCTTCCCCTCAAAGTCAATGAGCCACCTTGTCTTGTAGCACTTCGCAGACACATAAGGGGGGTGGTTCAGTTGATAGCGAGTAGGGTGATACAGTTCATAATTTCCGCGTTGCATTGTGGGAAGAAAAGGGGATGGGAGAAACGCTTGGAACGTGCACAGATTTACTAGCATTTTCCTGCTTGCAGAGGAGCTTAAGTAGCACTATTTATGGCAGCTTGGTTGCCGTGGTAGATTCAAAGCTACAGTAGGACAAACCGGAAAAGAGCAGGTTGACACAGTTCAGAGAGGAGCTGCGCGTTTCTTGCAGTCACAAGAAATTAGAGAGCCAAGCGAGGTCCGGACACAAGGGAGTATCAGCTCTCATCTGGAGGAAGAGGAGAAAGGGAGGAGGAAGACAGGAGAAGAGGAGGAGGAGGAGGGGTGATGTTTTTTTCTTATTTTTAGATGCTGACATCTTTCATATTCATTTCATTTGACTGTGTGTGTATGTAATGTGGCTGTCTGTGTCTTGCTTGTGTCTTCTCTTGATTCCTATATGTTTTCATACCTGTGTGCCCATGTGAATTCATGTGTGCATATGTCTGTGAGAGATGTGATGCTTTTCACTTAGGATGCGGTTTTGGCTCAGCAATCATAAAAGCTCCGCAGTCAGTTTGTGGTTGATTTACTTCATTCCCTCTATTTGTGGCTGATTACAACTATTCTCTCAGGATTTCTGTTATTTTTATGTGTAGCCATCCAAATGCACTCATCAGCTGCAATCATTTGCAGCACGGAAGTAGGTTGAAGGAGTAGTGTGTCTATGTTATTTATATAAATAGATTCAGTGCTGCATCCTGTATTAGTCAGCAATGATATTTTCAAGAAATCAATGGCAATCTGGTTGGAAAGGAAAAAATTAACATAGAAGAGGAGAGTTTTATATAATTCAGTCCTTTCAGAAATGTATTTCTTCTATTGCTTTCCCCCTTATCTTGCTATACATGGAATTTATTTTCAGTTGTGTTTGTGCTGTAACTTTTCTTATGTCACTACAGAAAACCTACTATAATCTATTTATTATACCTTTGTTAAAATCGACGTAACCTTTTTATGGTTCAGCAAAATTCTCAGATACTAAAGTTCAGCTGGCTGTTCCGTTTATTGAAATGGTGCATTCAAAAACAATTTTTAATACAAATACTGCTTCAATGATGAGTCAGAGCAAGCTGTTTCGATTTACATTGTTCTACATTTACATTGCCAAAACGGATTTTCTATGAGAAAATTAAATTGTAATGTTGAATGACATTCAATCTGTCTGTCCTCTGTCTGCAGGTCCAGGAATGGCTGTGTCTGAATTGTCAGATGCAGAGAGCTCTTGGCATTGATATGACCACACCTCGCTCTAAGAGCCAACAGCAGATTCACTCTCCGTCCCACCAAGCCAAACCCATTGTCCAGCCTCAGCAGCCGACGCCTCAGCCAACACAACCAACAGCAGCAGCCCAGCCAAAACCTTTGGCGCAGAGTCAGCCCACCCAGCGACAGCAGCAACATCAGCAGCCACAACAGCAGCCGCAGCAGCAGCAACAGCCTCAGCCCTACGGCCAGACGCAACCCTACTCCCAGTCTCAGCCATACTCCCAGTCCCAGCAGTATCCCCAGTCTCAGCCCCAGTTGTACCCTACATCCCAACAGGGGCCTCAGCCTCAAAGCTCCCCAGGCTTGCAAAGACACCAAGGCCCTGGCGCCTCTCAGACTCAGACAGGGCCTTATCAGCAGGGCATGAGGTCAGACCCATACTCCCAAAGAGGTCCTGGCGCCCAAGGAGCTGTCGGAGGTCCTGTAGGTGGCCCCAACCAGCCAGGAGGTCCACGAATTCCCCACCCCGGAGCTGTGCCCCTCCCAGGGTTGACCAAGGCCCCCTCCCAACCTGATTTGGGTCGGGGTTCCCCAATGCATCAGTCTATGGCACGGCATCATGATCAGACCAGAAGCGCCGGCTCTTCTCCTGCCCACAGACCTCAGAGTCAGGCCCCACCTCCTGCCCAGGATGGCCTGACCAAACTGTTTGGCTTTGGGGCGTCTCTGCTTAATCAGGCTAGTACACTCATCAATGTTGACCCTCTATCAACTGCCTCCACCCAGCCTAGCCCTGCACGAGGCAAAGTGGTGTTCAGTAATGCATCTCCTGACAACAAGCAGCAACAAGGTGCCCCAGGCAGCAAAGCATTTGGTATGGGAGGCCCTCATGCTCCAACTCAAATGAGTGGCCCTCATGCATCAGGCCAAATGGGAGGTCCTCATGCAACCAGCCAAATGGGAGGATCTCATTCATCAGGCCAAATGGGAGGCCCTCATGCAATGGGTCAAATGGGAGGACCTCATGCAATGGGGCAAATGGGAGGACCTCATGCAACGGGTCAAATGGGAGGACCTCATGCAACGGGTCAAATGGGAGGACCTCATGCACCTGGTCAAAGGGGAGGTCAACATGCACCGGGTCAAATGGGAGGTCCTCATGCACCGGGTCAAATGGGAGGTCCTCATGCACCGGGTCAAATGGGAGGTCCTCATGGCAGAGTCAAATGGGAGGTCCTCATGCACCAGATCAAATGGGAGGTCCACATGGGCAGAGTCAAATGGGAGGTCCTCATGCACCAGGTCAAATGGGAGGTTCACATGGGCAGAGTCAAATGGGAGGTCCTCATGCGGCAGGTCATATGGGAGGCCCTTATCCACAGAGCCAAATGGGAGGCCCTTATCCACAAGGCAAAATGGGGGGTCCTCAAACAACAAGCCAAATAGGAGGTCCCCAAATGGGTGGACCGCATATGCCATCCCAAAAGCAACAGACCATGCCCCATCAACAAGGAATGCCACAACATCAGTCGCCGGCGCATCATCAAAAAGGGCTGCAAGGACAACAACCACAAGGAACACATCAGCAGTCACCTGCTCATACGCAAAAGGCGCCGCAAAAGCAGGAACCTGCGGTAGCCCCTGTGCCTGCTCCAGAGCCCGTTAAGCCTAAAGTGAACTGTCCTCTTTGTAAAACGGAGCTGAACATCAACAGTTCTGACCCACCTAACTACAACACCTGTACACAGTGTCACAGCCAAGTTTGCAACCTATGTGGCTTCAACCCGACACCACATCTGGTGGAGGTAAGAAAACAAATAACACAAATGCAATACAGTGCATGCAAAGATGCTAACACAATGTAACTCACCGTACTGTACAAACAGTACTGTAATTGCACACACCAACACTCACACATAGAAGCATCTCCTCCCAGACAATCAATACCATTTTGCACAAATAGAAAATGCTATTCATTCCACTCTCAGAGTTTTCACTGTAAGGATGCTTACCTGAAGCTCTTTCTATACTCTGAGGAATTTACAATCTTTTCTCCAGTCCAAACACTTTTCATCCTCAGTGTGTATAGGCCCATAGCCCAAAATGCTGTTTTAAAGAGAATGTAGAAGTAAGGAAAATGTGGTAGAGGAAGGGGAGATAATGGGAGAAGTCAGAAAAACAGTGAAGGAAGGAAATCAAAGGGTCAGTCATTAAAGTATAAGAGGAAAGGACTGGGTACATATGATTGAGAATACTAGCATGTAAAGATGGCTGAAAAGCATGAAAGAAGAGTGGAGGGATGAAAGAGATGATAGAAATGAGAGAGATGCAGGGATGCATGCAAGTCAGTCAGTCAGTCAAGCAGATTGAGAATGAGGAAACACGACCCCTTCAGGGTCTTTGGGGAGTATGGATGTTCGTACTGTAATGTACTATCACTGCCTTAAGTTAGACCAAGAGATAATGAACATGGTTATTTATAAGTGCTGCTACTGTGTTTGGGACAGTAATAGATGCACATAGAAAGCAAAGATAAAGAAAGGGTCATAATGTTATTTAGACCGTGAGAAATCTGTGCCATCAAAACTGTCACACACGCAAATCAAAAGAAGACACTTAAATAGTGTGCATGTATGTGTCTGTGTTTGTAATGTGGGTAACTCCAGAAGATGTGAATGACATTTTTGACAGACTACCTGAGGATGAACAAATAAATATTGCAAAGTTTAAAAAAATATAATGGCCACATTTAAAAAAAAAAAGTTTGTAAGGGAAAAGATCATGATGGCACAGTTTACGCTAAAATTTGAGTTCCACTCAAGCAAGAGGAAAAAAAGTAACTAGGACCAGAAAACTTAAAGACCACACAAAAAAAGATATTCAAGAATATCTGGTTAGTAACAATAGATATGGATGAATTAAGACGTGAAGTGAGGATTATAAAACGGTTGACATTTTGTTGAAAAAAGGTTTTAAAAAAAGGTGTAAAAGAGGAGTTCTCATTAAGATAAAGACAGCTGATGAAATTTAGAGAACTACCATTAATAAAAAAGACATTGAAACTAATACAAAGAGTGATGAGAAGTGAAACAGATGGAGAGCTAACACTGGAGAGAGGCTGAGGAGAAACTAGACATGTAGCGCTAAATCACGTGCAGCTTTAGGTCCACAGGGAGGAAGAGGTGCACTAACCAACTCAAACACACACACAAGATGTAGAATAACTCAGCAAGTAGGGCTGTTGGGTAGAAAATAGTCAAGTGAGGGGAGATGGCGACCAAAGAACTATGCAATCACAGTATTTGCTGAGGACGCTTGACTGAGGGAGGCAAGATAAGCTAAATTTGCTCCTCTGAGTTTTAAGAGCCTTGAATTATAAAAGAACAACAAAACATTAAATTCTATTCTGGCAGACTCAAAAACATCTCAGGAAGCATTGCATGCACTGCAGTTTAGTTTGGCATTCATTGTTCCCCATAGGGATTGTCCTACTTTGGTTTTTAACTGTGACCCACACAAAAATGGACACTTCTGTTTGTTTGTTTGTCAACATAGCTTACCAGCTATTGGATTGGTTGCTGTGGATTTCAAGTATCAATATATCAAATCTTCAAGTATCCCCACAGTATAAATTTGTCATAGCGCTTTCACACTATCACAAAACTCCTGACGTTTTCAGGCGGAGCCGTTTATGAACACAAACAGACACATTTTTCACCAGCTTTACTCTGAGTTTCTCCTGCCAGCCCCTCAGTATTTTTCTGCAGAAAGTCAGAGTTAGCTGATGTGAGAAGACAGGATATAATCAGGAGAATTCAGTGCACAACCGTAGACTGTATTCACACTATCGGTGCGTTTTTTCGTGAACATAATTAAACTGCTGCATTACTTTTTCTGTTAGCCAGTAGGCCATGTGCTTCTCTGCTTTTTTGTTGAAACTGTGATATTGTGGAACTACACATAGCATTGATATAAAGGCAAATATTATCATAGTGTCGTATAACGGACCCGGTTGCTTCTTCTGCCATGTGTTTCTTTTTATGTCACGTGTTGCCTCTTTCTGCTCCTCCCCCCCACCCATCTCATCCAAACAGTATAGTCACCAGCTGTGAGGTGCATGTGTGAACAGCCAGATCAGAAGGAGTTCAGGGGCAGTCCACCTGAAATTCTATAAAAAACGTTCGCGCATATTTGAAAATAGCTTAAGATGATCCACTGACTTTTGTTCTGCTGATTCTGCTGATAATTACTAAATTCTTTGTTAGGTTCATCTACAAGTTTGACTTTCTTAAGATTTCTTTGTTTTTTGACCAGGCCAACCTTTTGCATACTTCTTACTTAAACAGATTAGTGATGTGTTGGTCATGAACGATTCGTTCAAAACGAACGAATCATCTGGGTGAACGAACTGAACTGAATCACTTACTGAAAAGAGTCGTTCATTTCTCAACTTCAGTTGCGCTCTCCTCTCTCCCGTCTCGTGTCTCTCTCTCTAGACCGTAAGAGTCGCTCAAAGCCCGCCCTCCGTCTCTCTGTCATGTCAGTGATATGTACTGACTGAACCAACAGGACGGAGTCGGTCGGGAGCTCTGTGTCACTAAAGCCCGCCCCTACTTCTCCTTCTAATGTCTCCAAAATTGAGGAAGTAGAAAATATATTATTTAACATTTAGGTGTCGCGAAAATGTATGTGCTTTTTATATCTGCTGTCAGTTTACAAACAGCTTTTATATCCAACTTAATTTCACTCAGCTGACTGTTTTAACATCCACTAACGATCGTGTTTCAGTCAGTACAGTGTGTATGTGTGTGTGTGTGTGTGTGTGTGTGTGTGTGTGTGTGTGTGTGTGTGTGTGACTGAGGCTGGTGACTCGCAGTCTCGCTCGTTCACGTTCAGTGAACGAACTGAACGAGAGCTCCACCTCCGAGTCTCTCTCTTCCTCTCAGTCAGTCAGTGAGTGATTTGTGTACTGAACGTACTGAACAGAACGGTAGGGGAAACTAAATGTGATTGTTTTAGCAGCTTTCAGTTTGCAAACTAGCTTTATGCAACTAAATTCTCAGCTCATTAGTTTATTATTCACCACCGGCTGTTCTCAGTACGATCACGAGCAGAACTAAACGTTCGGCCGTGTTTCAGCTTATTAAATTCTGATTCACAGACAGAGCTGCAGAGAAGTACTGAACGATTCGGTGAATGAATGTTTTGAACGAATCACTTTACTGAACTGATTCTACTGATTCAGTACACTGAAAAGAACTGCTTTTCACATCACTAAAACAGATACATTGATGTAGTAGTTGCCCATTGTAATTTTGTAAAATTCTCACTTATTTATTCAGCTTTAATGTGAATTTTCTCCTTCTGGTTGAACATATTCCTGCAGATTTATCTGCAAATGTGACCTGAAATCTCTGGAAATCCGTCTGTTCTGAAATGCATGTGATAAAATCTAAACCTAAAGTTAGCCAAAAATAAAACGAGTATGTCTCTGCTAAATATCATCCTTGTTATAGAGATATGGTAATATTACTTTGTTCTGATCTGACTTGTCATTGAGCGCCATCAACACAAGAAAGTTTAATTAAGCAGCTATTTTACATGATGACACATCCTCCAACTTGAGCAAATGTTAACATGTTAATAAGCTATACTAAGATGGTTAGCATCTAAAAAAACAATAAACCTGCTGGATGTGTTAGTACTGTTAGTGTGGTTCTGTCAGCATGCCGATAGTAACATTTAGCAACACTGTTCCTACAGCCTATCAGAGCTGTTGTTATGGATGTAGACTAAAAGCCCAATTCACACATACTCCGTGCGCGCAGCGGTCCGTCAGCACTACGTTGTACTTGGCTTCCACTCTAGTCAATCATTGTGCTCACACAGCGCGCGCTGCGGTCCGTCTCCAGCGCGAGCCACCGACGGCACTACGCTCTGCTCCGTTTCAAATACGCAGCGAGTCGATTTTCACCGGAGAACACTGCAGGCATGCGTAAAGCTGGACAGAATATGACAGCCCCGACAGGACGTCAGACAAGGAACGCACAGAGCATCCGGTCAATTTCAAAATAAAACACAATATACGGACTCGCGATCGTATTTTTCATCACTTTATCAACATTACGTCAAAACAGGAACTGAATTAACAACAATGCATCCTCAGAAAGACAAAGCAACATGGGTGCGCTCCGCTGCGCTGACGTCGCAGAAACGGATCCAGTGTGAATGGGCGCGAGCCGTCCGACGGAGCAAAACCGTGTCGCTAATGGACTGCGGCGCGCACGGAGTATGTGTGAATTGCGGGTAGTTGTATTCTACTTTCTCTGCTTCTCTCTACTTCTCTACTTTCTTTATCTTACATTATGCCCAAAGCATGTTAGCCATGCAAACTTCGGCATACAATACATGCAAACTTAATTTTAGACCTCCACATTTGATATGTGCATGTTTCGATCAAAACAAACATGTTATATCTAAAGAAATGCTTTTGTTCCAATCCACCATTGCCTACCCTTCAGTATTTTTGGGGACGGGTCAGTCATCTCTTCACTATACAAGAGAATAAATAGTCTGACGGAACAACTTTGTTTCGTCACTTAAAAATAATGTGTCTGCCAAAGTAGTCTAACAGAGTTAGAGAAAAACAGAAAGGCAGTTTGATGGAGAAACATGGAGGTTAGCGCTCGCTTGATATTTCAATAATTCAGTGATGTTTTTTTTATATATATAAATAGCGAGAGAGATAAAAAATGTAAGGGGTGAGGCAGTGCAGGCTGGTAGAGAAAAGTAAGAAGTCACTAAG